TCCAGTAAATCCAAGGGGTGGGGGATTCAATAAAAGTGCCAATAAAAATCCAATGAAAGTACCAACTCTACCCCTTAGTTACCTAAGATGTAGGTAACTCATCTTACCTGTATCTTACCTAAGATCTCATCTTACCTATATAGAGGCCAGATTGCCAGTTTAGGGCCCCTCCCCCAGTGCTGAACCTCAGCTCCTTCCAGGGTGGCTTCATGCCAGAACACACTGGAATATACCGGAACTCCCCGGAAGCAGAACACGGTGTTCCAACACTCCCATTAGCTCTTTCTGTTACTCCTGTTTCTTTGTTAGATTTCTGCAAACACTTAATCTTCTCAACAAGCATTTTAGATTCAGATGTATTTTGTAAGATAGATACATAAATAATAATCTCTTCTGTTCATAACTACTTTTTCCAAAGTAGTTCCTTTTGGGACTGAACATTTTTGATGTTCTCTCGTCAGTCTGTTGTGAGGTACCGGGGAGGTCTCCTTGTGGGAGCAGTTCTACAGTACATTCCTAGGGGTTGAGTGTAGGCTCCTGCACCTCCCAACCGAACCCTCCTCCATGCTTCTCCCCCTCCTGGATGCACTCAGTATTTGTAGAACATTCAATGGACTGCTGCCTCAGTCCATTCAGGCTGGTATAACAAAATACCATAACTGGGCTGCTTCTAAGCAGAAGTCTCTCACAGACCTGGAGGCTGGAAGTCTGAGATTGAGGTGCCAGCAGATTTAGTGTCTGTTGAGGGCCGCTTCCTGGTTCATAGACAGCACCTTCTCTTTTTGTCCTCACATGGTGGCATGAGTAAGGGAGTCCTAAGGAACCTCTCTTGTAAGGGTACTAATCCCATTTGATCCCATTTGTGGGGACTCTCCCCTTATGACCTTATCAATTCTCAGAGCCTTACCTTTTTTTTTTTTTTTTTTTGAGGCAGAATCTGGCTCTGTTGCCCAAGCTGGAGTGCAGTGGCACAATCTTGGCTCACCGCAACCTCCACCTTCTGGGTTCAAGTGATTCTCGGGCCTCAGCTGCCTGAGTAGCTGGGGTTACAGATGCCTGCCCACCATGCCTAAGTTTTGTATTCTTAGTAGAGATGGGATTTCACCATGTTGGCCAGGCTAGTCTTGAACTCCAGACCTCAAATGATCTACCTGTCTTGGACTCTCAATGTGCTGAGATTACAGGCATGAGCATCATGCCTGGTCCAGAGCCCCACCTTTTCATACCATCACCTTGTGGGGTGAGGATTTCAGTGCATGAATTTTCAGGGACATGAACATTCAGTCCATGGTACAGACTATGTGTCTGGCTCACGCTATCTGCATACAGAGGATACAGCAGTGAGTGAGGTGGGCTAATTGCTCACCTTGGAGCATGCTTATTGTCTTTTCGACTCTCAGGCATGTGATTGAGACATCTTCATCTAGTTGATGGTCATGATTAATGCACCGTTGTCACAATTAAGTGACTGCAGAAGGCCTCGATAAAGAAATTCTTACATACTTCACAAGAATCCTTCCAAGGTTCATCCTGCATGTGTAAGTACCTTTTCTGTACGGATCTGCCAGCCTCGGTTTGTAGATGTTTCCAAAAGCTAAATTTAGAAGGCCGTCGTAGATTTGGGTGGGCATCAGACCCTTCAACTGAGCCTAATTTTCTCACTGGTTATGTGCCTTTTCATTGACTTTCAGAAGCCTTCTGGGACCTGACACACCCATTCAGCTAAGCAGGCCTGCAGCTGGCCTGAGGTCCTGGGTTTCAGATTTGAGTGGTTTGATGTTGGTCTTTTGGCTCCTTCTTGGTTTTTTTGTTTTGTTTTGTTTTCTTCGTGATTTTATCCATGAAAGCTTTTCCTCTCCAGGCCAGTTTGGCAGTAGATGTTCACCTCCTACTTAAGTGAGGTATTCACTGTTGGTAACTTTCTTCAGTAAGTGTCTCCAGTTATTTATTTTTTCCTTTTTTCCTTACCCTTTAGCAGGACACATTGTGTCTCCAGTTCTAATTGTAGATATTGTACTGACCAGCTCTGAAGCACTTGGGACTGTTTGAGGAGAGAGAAAAGCAGGCATGAGCCCACTCTCTTGGATCTGTAGGGCCTGTGGATTTGCTGCCTGGTCTCCTGCAGCTGCTCCTGCCATTGAGCTATGTGTGGAGTACCTCACCCAGGATTTTCCGGTGTTCTGGAAGCCATGTTGCAGTCATGTCTCTTTTGCCAGTATGCCCAGAGGTCCCCATTCAGGCAAAATAGTCCTTGGGCTATATTTGAAATACGAAGGGCTTTAAACAGGAAATAAAATTTCATGTCTTATTTTTTAAAAAGAGAACAAGTCTTTATGTTTTCTTTCCCATGTAGAAAACTTCAAATTTGGTTTTTTAATGTAGAAGAACTTCACATTCATGCTTGTTTCTTTGTGAATAAGTTGATTTGTTGTTTTAGTCTAGAGAAACTGGTCAGCAACATTACAGAACCAGAACAAACCAGCACAAAAGCATCAAAGTGGGTGGGGGGGTATTTGGTTTTCTGTTCATAATAAGCGAGACATGTTACTGCTTTAGGTTAGAAAGGTATTCAGGAATGAACAAAGACAGCTTTGAGTTTAAAAAAAAAAGAAAAGAAAGGTATATTTCCAATAATACAGAATTGGCTATAATTAGGCTGCTAATACACTTCCTGTTTTGCCATTAGGTGGCATCTTTATAATTTGAAGGATGTTTCAGTGTCTCATGCAAGCTAATCAGATAAGCCTTGTTAAATAGAGGTAACAGGTAAGTTTGTTTGCATGGAGTTTTATAGTTTGACAAACATTTTTGGGCAAATTTTCTCATCTGTTCCTGATGACACCTATCAGACTTAGACGAGATCAGGCGCGTTAAGGGTGGTATGGCTGTAGACCTATTAGATTTAGAGACCTGAGGTGACCTGAAGTCATAGAGTTACCAGGTGGCCAGCTGAGGGCTCCAGCCCAGCTCTCCCGTCAGGCCCTCTGCACACTCACTGCTCTGTACTGTGCTGCTTTCACAAGAGTGAGCATATCTGAGTGCTAGGGCTTGGCACTCATGGGGTTACACCCTGCTTCTGAGTTCAGGTAGTTAGAAGATCTGCTGTGTCCTTTCAAAGGGGCTCACAGAATGAGTTTTATGTGTAGAATTGATTTTGGAAAAGTCTGTTTTTTTTTTTTTTTTTGAGACAGTTGCCCAGGTTGGAGTACAGTGGCACAACCTCAGCTCACTGCAACCTCTGTCTCCCAGATTCAAAGAGATTCTCTGCCTCAGCCTCCTGAGTAGCTGGGATTACAGGCGTGCACCACCACACCTGGCTAAATATTTTTGTATTTTTAGTAAAGACGGGGTTTCGCCATGTTGGCCAGGCTGGTCTTGATCCCCCCACCTTGGCTTCCCAAAGTGCAGGAATTATAGGCAGGGGCCACCATGCCCAGCCTACTGGAGTATTTTTAGGACCTGTGAAAATATGATACTCATAGAACCTGAATCTATTCTCTTTTGACCATCTCCAGTACAGGCTAACTTTTTTTTTTTTTTTTTGTGATGGAGTTTTACTCTGTTACCCAGGCTGGAGTGCAGTGGCATGATCTCGGGTCACTAACCTCTGCCTCCCGGGTTCAAGTGATCTCCTGCCTCAGCTTCCCGAGTAGCTGGGATTACAGACGTGCACCACCACACCTGGCTAATTTTTGTATTTTTAGTAGACAGGGTTTTACCATGTTTGCCAGACTGGTTTTGAACTCCTGACCTCAGGTGATCTACCTGCCTCGGCCTCCCGAAGTGCCAAGATAACAGGCACGAGACACCGTGCTAAGCCTAATTCTTATTTTTAAGAAGTGTATATGTTATATTTCAGAGTTTAATGGCATAAGGAGGTAGCTAGATCTTACATGTAGTAACAGATACAGAAGCATGGAGAATCTTGGTTACACATAGACAAGACTTACCGGAAAGAAGATGAGTAATACAAAACCAAGTATTTCAGTACTGTTGAAACAAAATTCTAGGCGCAACTGCCGCCGTAGTGTGTTGCTAAGGGAGGATGTGAAGTTTTCTCCTCTAACGGTCCTGAAAAGGATTTGGATTCTTTTCCATTTGGGGGCTGGGGGAGCCTGTCCTGTCCTTTCAAGTCAGTTCTCAGTACTGAAGTGCTCTGGGGCCTGAGAGATGTGTGTCCTTTGGTTCTCAAGAAGTTTGCATATTATCATGATGTTTTGCTTCTAGTTATGTGCTTTTCATGTTATGTGCTTTTCGCTACAATTGAAAACTTTAACCATTTAACAAAAAAATGTTATAAAAGTTTTTTTATTATTTAAAAACTATAGCCAATTCCCAAATATTTTTGGCTATTGTAGAAACATAAGTGGCCTGTATAAAGTTAAGGAAAAGAAGCCAAGCCTCAGTATATCCACTAATGACAGCTTTTTTGCTCTGTTGCTCAGACTGGAGTGCAGTGGTGTGATCTCGGCTCACTGAAACCTCCACCTCTAGGGTTCAAGTGATTCTCTTGCCTCAGCCTCTTAAGTAGCTGGGATTGCAGGCATGCGCCACCACGCCCAGCTAATTTTTGTATTTTTAGTAGAGATGGAGTTTTGCCACATTGGCCAGGCTGATCTCCAAATCCTGGCCTCAAGTGATCCACCCACCTCCGCCTCCTCACATTCTGGGATTATAGGCATGAGCCAGTGTGTCCAGCCACAGCATTTTCTTAAATGAGCATTTCATGATCAAGGCTTCTAGAAAGTATAAGTAGAAAAAAAAGTTATCTTAAGATCCAAAATGTTACTTAGGATTCTTTTTTCAATTCTAAGGGAGAAAAATGCTAATAAACTGTGAAAGGACAAAGTTGGTGGGCAAGGGGAGAGGAGAAGGGTTGGCTGGGGTGTTGACAGAATCGTGCCACTGTGCAGAAACTTGAGTATAATTTGCTGGCTAGCTTGTAGAATCAGTGATAACTAATGAATATCCCCTTTCTTCTACCTGCTGGTACGAAACAGTGAGACGGTTTAAGCGGAAGCATCTTACTGCCATCGACTGCCAGCATTTGGCTCGGAGTCACTTGGCTGTGACCCAGCCCTTCGGTCAAAGATGGACAAACAGAGATCCGAACCATGGTCTCTATCCTAAACCCAGAACAAAAAGAGGGAGTAGGGGTATGTCTCCTCCAAAACTCTTGCATTTCAAAACCTGTAGTGTGTGGGGTCTTTGAATATCTCCTAGTTTAAAAGTATCTGTAAATGTTGCTGCTGTGACTTGAAGTCTTGATGCAATAGCTTGATACTTTTTTCATTATTTGTGAGTTTTGCATGAGAAAAAAAATTTTTTTTTGAGACTGAGTTTCATTCTTGTTGCCCAGGCTGGAATGTGATGGCATGATCTTGGCTCACTGCAACCTCTGCCTCCCAGATTCAAGTGATTCTCCTGCCTCAGCCTCCTGAGTAGCTGGGATTACAGGCACACACCACCACACCCAGCTAATTATGTATTTTTAGTAGAGATGGGGTTTATCCATGTTAGTCTTGAACTCCTGACCTCAGATGATCCACCTGCCTTGGCTTCCCAAAGTGCTAAGATTACAGGCATGAGCCACCGCCCCTGGCTGAGTTTTCCATGAAAATCCTATGCTATTATCAGTTCGTAAAAGCTGGGGAAAAGTGTGATGGAATGAATACTATTAGCTTTTGTAAATTATAAAGTGATAGAAAATATGGGCCAGTGTCACTCTTATTCCAATCCAGAAACACTCTGATTAGTTGACCCTTGTTTGTCTTCTCTGTCCAGTATCTGCCACTAGATCCATGTGTCATTATTTTTCCTCCAAAATGTTCCCTCACCCTAAGCCCTTTGTCACCTGGTACCTGGACTACTACAGTAACCCTTCTTCTTGACTTCAGATTTTCTCTCTTCTAAATCAACTGGACTGTCCTCTATGTACCAAATGAATTCCCGCTTTCGTTAATAAATCTAGGTTGCCTTATTTCCCTTTCATGTAATTAATTTCAGAATCCAACTCAAGTATTATCTAGTTGGCTTTTGTTTGTTGTTGTTCAAGAAAGGGTCTTGCTCTGTTATTCAGGCTGGAGTGCGCTGGCACCATCTCCGCTCACTGCAGCCTCTGCCTCCTACCTCAGCCTCCCAAGTAGCTGGGACTACAGGCATGTGTCACCACGCCTAGCTAATTTTCGTATTTTTTTGTAGAGATGGGGTTTCACTATGTTGCCCAGGCTGGTCTCAAACTCCGGGGCTCAAGAGAGCAGCCCACCTCCGCCTCTCAAACTGCCGGGATTACAGGTGTCAGCCACCTTTCCCAGCCTGGTTGTCTTTAAATATTGTGTGTTTTCCACTTTGGGAACTACTATAACCAACTATATGAGGCAGTTTGAAACTTAGTTATATGCTGTCTGATAACTGAGTTTGTTCCATATGTAGAAGGCAGTTTCTTTTCTGCCTTGAATTCTTTACTGACAAGGACTTGTGAGGTGGCCCTGACCAGGTGGTAAGGTCTCAATGACTGTGGATGTGGCTGGATTCAACAGTCAAAAGATACCAGGATTTGGCTGGGAGTAGTAGCTCACGCCTTATTTATAATCCCAGCACTTTAGGACGCTGAGGTGGGAGGATTGCTTGAGCCCAGGAGTGCCAGACCAGCCTGGGCAACATAGTGAGGCCCCGTCTCTATTTAAAATTATAATAAATTTTTCAAAAAAGAAAATACCAGGATTTAACCCTGGTCATATGGATTTAACTCGTAGTAATAGTGACTTTAGAACTCTGGGTTTCTATCAAATTGCTTAAGAAATATTTTTTTCACTAATATAGAAAAATATCTGTCTCAGTTTTATAAATTTTTTTAAAGGCTAAACTGAATTTCAGTCCATTCTCTTATTTTCCAAAGTGAGAATTTTGGCTACGGCCATTTAGGAAGGAACTGTGTATTACTGATAAGGCATTTACTTCTTTGGCATTTAAAAATAATTTTCAGGAGTTTGCAAATGCTGTGGGATGTGTGAAATCACCATTTAGGCTTCCCTATGTGCCTGAAAAGTCTGTGAGTCAGGGAACATAACCATTTTTCATTCTACACTTGTCTCGGAATCATCGGTGCTTAGTAAATGGCCATTGAACAAACATGTAGAAGAGATTAGGTACTACTATAATACTATAAAGATAATTCTGAGTCCCACCTTTTTATTTTAAAATAATGTGTCACCTTCACAGGAAGAAATACAAATAAAAGCCGGGCACAGTGGCTCACGCCTGTAATCCCAGCATTTTGGGAGGCCAAGGTGAGTGGATCACTTAAGGTCAGGAGTTCGAGACCAGCCTGCCCAACATGGCAAAACCCTATCTCTAAAATACAAAAATCAGCCGGGCGTGGTGGCGCACCTATAGTCCCAGCTACTTGGGAGTCTGAGGCAGGAGAATAGCTTGAACCTGGGGGGCAGAGGTTGCAGTGAGCTAAGATCACACCACTGCCCTCCAGCCTGGGTGATAGAGTGAGACTCCGTCTCAAATAAATAAACAAATAAGAAATAAATAAAAATAAAAGAGGTTTAGCACTGTCAAGTGAGAAGAGTGAGATTTTCAGAATCCTGATAATCCCAAGCATGTGAATTTCTGTTTAAGCACATGGAGGCTTCCCGCTGTAGAGTGAGTGGGAGTGGTGCACTTTGTGAGTGGCGGTGTGGATGTGAGCAGTCGCCTCCTTTTTGTCTGTCCATTCAGGTATTCCCTGTGTACCCTGTTTCTCTGTACTTGTATTTACTGCAGGGAGTATTGTGGCCATCCCACCATGTGGAGACCGGTCTCTGTCTCCTTGTAAATGTGTGTCTGTTTATATGATAGAGCCAAATGTAAATATTGTTTGGATTAGTTATTTATATAACCAGCCGGCCCATAAATATACTCTTGTCTTTTCCCTCTGGTAACATAGATAATTGAAAATTAGTTTGTCTTATTTGGGTCAACAGCAAATCAACAGTCATTGTTCATTTCTCGTCCATCCTGTTTGGGTTCTCTCTACAGGTCAAGGATGTCAAAGATGCATCCCTGAGTTCTTCCTAGCAGGCAAGCAGCCGTGCACCAATGACATGGCCAGAAGCAATTCTGTTGGCCAGGACAGCTATCAGGACTCTGAGGGTGACATGATCTTTCCTGCAGAGAACAGCTGTGCACTGCCTCAGGAAGGCAGTGGAGAAGCACTGCTGGGCGCTTCAGGGTCTGCCCCGCCCTCCAGGAAGCGGGCTCGGTCCTTTGAGGAAGAGAGTAACCAGGCTATGGGGACCAGCCGGTGGGATGGAGTTTCTAAGAAAGCCCCGAGGCATCATTTGTCTGTGCCAAGCACAAGGCCTAGGGAGGCCAGGCGAGAAGCAGAGGACAGTACATCTCGGCTCTCTGCAGAGTCTGGAGAAACTGACCAAGATGCTGGGGACCTGGGTCCTGATCCCATTCCTGACTCATACTATGGGCTTCTTGGGACCTTGCCCTGCCAGGAAGCGCCGAGCCACATTTGCAGCCTGCCTAGTGAGGTCCTGAGGCACGTGTTTGCCTTCCTCCCAGTGGAAGACCTCTACTGGAACCTGAGCTTGGTGTGCCACCTGTGGAGGGAGATTATCAGTGACCCATTGGTGAGTGAGTGCTCGGAGTCAGGAGATGGTTCCTCTAAAAGCACATGAATTTGCTAAATGCACACTTCTAATTAGAGGATCTTTTCAGACATGGTTTCCATTTGCCTTCAGAAGACATTCAAACTCCTTAGAGGCATTTAAGGCCTTCTCTGTCTGCCCCTTAGAGGCATTTAAGGCCTTCTGTGTCTGCCCCACTCTATGATTCCAGCCTCTTTGCTCACTTCCACTCAACACATCTTCCCTGTGTTCTGTCTATAGCTCATCTGCTGTGTCCAGACCACAGACTGCGCATTCCTTCCCCTCCCTGGGTTGCTCTAATCCTCCCACCCTCCCCATTTGGAGGGTTTTTTTTTTCTTTTTTTCTTTTTGGAGACAGAGTTTCCCACTGTCACCCAGGCTGGAGTGCAGTGGCATGATCTTGGCTCACTGCAACCTCTGCTTCTGGGTTTCAAGCAATCATACTGCCTCAGCCTCCCCAGTAGCTGGGATTACAGGCATGCATCACCAAACCCAGTTAATTTTTGTAGTTTTAGTAGAGATGGGCTTTTACCATGTTGGCCAGGCTGGTCTGAAACTCCTAACTTCAAGTGATCTGCCTGCCTTCGGCTTCCCAAAGTGCTGGGGTTATAGGTGTGAGCCACCGTGTATGGCCCCACCGCCCTTTTTTTTTTTTTAAATGTAAGCATCTATAGCTATAAACCACTCTCTTACAACAGCACAACAGCATTCATTGCATCTCATAAGTTTGGTATGGCATGTTTTCATTTTCATTTGTCACAAGATATTTTCTAATTTTCTTTGAGATTTCTTCTTTTGACCCATTGGTTGTTTTAAGAATGCATTGTTTTTTGTTTTTTTTTTTTTTTTGTTTTTTTTT